CTGTAAGCATAGATGAATCTTAGAAATTAAATAAACATACAGGACAGTGTGTCTGCAACTACACTATATTTTCCTTTTATATGTTTAATAACGAGATTGTATGGTTGTAAGGCAATGAACCATCTTACAAGTGTTTGGTTACTATTTTTCATGATCACTGTAAGCAACAATTTAATGAGGAGTTATTTATGTATATGTATTAAACTTTTTATGAGTTGATAAAAGTGAGATTGCTTCCTTTTCTATAGTGGAGTAATTTTATGGTTTCTTAAATTTTTGAGAATGATAACACACATGATGTAAAATGTTTCTGATCCTAATTCTAATAAAACTCCACCAGCCCACATCACTAGCGTTAACATGAAGGCAGAAGGGTTTATCAAAATTAGGAAACTAATACTGGAGCACTAGTTAGAAGAGCACAGCTATTTTCATAAGCAGCATGGCATTCAGTGGTCCATAGAAACAACTTCTGTGGCTTCCCAGATCAGTGAGAGGGACTGCAATCTGAGCAAAATTAGAACAGAAACGTCTGTAATATCCAGCTATGCCCAAGACCCTCATAACTGCATTGCGCTCCCTTGCAGTCGGGAGATTACAGATGGCTTCAACTTTTGCTGACACTGGAGTGTCCAATCTCATGCCCAAGAAGATAACACGTGCTTTACCGAACTCACTTTTCACCAGATTAACAGTCAATCCAGCATCAGTCAGGTGGGTGAACAAATCTTGAATTCTGAAGATGTGCTCCTCCCAGGTTGTCCTTGAACGTCCGACAACCCATGGATTACTCTGATGATAAGTCTCTGGATTGTAGCTGGTGCATTTTTCATTCCAAAAGGAATGACTTTGTAGTTGTAGAGCCCGTCTGGTATTGTAAAGGCAAATATCCTCTTAGCTCTGCCAGTAAGTCGTATTTGATAATAACCTTTTTCGTAAATCAAGCTGGTCACGTACTCAGCATTCCTTATGTTGTCTACGAGGTCATCAATACGTGACAGTGGGTAACAATCACCTCGGGTAACTTTATTTATTTTCCTATAGTCTGTGCACATTATCCATGAGCAATCTGGTTTTGGTACCAAGAGACACGGAGAATAACATAAGAACATAAGAATGGAGGAAACTGCAGCGGGCCTATTGGCCCATACTGGGCAGTCCCATTTACACCCAACCCCTATTGCTCATACATCCATCCAACCTACGTTTGAAGCTATCCAGAGTATTCGAGTTAATGATGATATTTGGTAACTTGTTCCACTCGTCCACTACTCTATTTCCAAACCAATGTTTACCTATTTTGCGCCTAAATCTAAATTTGTCTAATTCAAAACCATTGTTACGAGTTCACTCCTGGTTGGATAGTTTGAGTACCTTTGTAATGTCCCCTTTGTTTAGCCCTGACTTCCATTTATACACCTCTATCATATCGCCCCTCACTCTACCTCTCCCGAGGGAGTGCATATTAAGATGCTTTAACCTGTCTCTGTACTCAAGGTTTCTAATGCCCGGGATTGGTCTTGTCATTCTCCTCTGGATTCTTTCCAAAGATTCTATATCCATTCTGTAATATTATGACCAGAATTGAACTGCGTAATCCAAGTGAGGTCTCACAAGCGCAAGATATAGTTTTAGGATGACCTCGCTAGTCTTGTAACTAACACTCCTTTGTATGAACCCAAGTACTTTATTAGCCTTGTTTCGAGCAAATACATATTGTTTACTTGCCTTAAGATTCCTACTTATCATTACTCCGAAATCTTTCTCGCAGTCGGATTTCTCAATAACATCGTTGTTCATCTGGTATCTGGTTTCCCTGTTTACATCTCCTATACTGAGTACTTTAAATAATTATTTATCCAGGTCATTTTTGTTTGATCTGAGTTTTCTGTGTGGTATGTTCTGCCTTTGTGTATTAAGTAACTCATTATTTAAATTGTTGTGGAACTCGTCAACCTTAGATCTCGTGAGCAGGTCATCCTCAACCGTCAGGTCTCCAGGTAAGGCGAGGGCGCCCTCTGTGGGTACGTTGTGTGACGTCACCTCATGTGAGGTCATGTAATTCACCCCCAAGCGTGATACCCCTTCTCTCAGCTGCCTCTTCAAACTATCAAAGTTTGCCCTTCTGAAATCTGGAACTTTAGTGAAATTTTCCTTGCGGTTGCCCAGAAATTCTAATTGAAATCTTATTTCTTTGTGATCGCTGTTAGCAAGTTCGTTTCCTACCTCGACATTACTAATGAGGTTTTCTCTGTTTGACAGAACTAAATCGAGTATATTATTACCCCGGGTGGGTTGGGTTATATGTTGGCTTTGGAAACGGTCCTGGATTGTTTCATGAAAATCCTCTGATTCTGAGTTACCCGTAAGGTCAATCCAATTTATTTGGCTAAAGTTAAAGTCGCCTACCACACAGACTTTGCTTTATATGGAAGCCTTCCACTTTCTCCTTCAGAAAATATGGTAGAAGGAGGAAATCCTCCCGAGATCTTAAAGACGTCTCGACCGTCAATATTTATAAGAACAAGGGATACTGGTCAGACTTTGACAACTACCGCGGGATCTCACTGCTATCCGTAGCTGGCAAGATTATAGATCGAGTCCTCCTGAACAGACTTTTTCCTGAGGCGGAAAACGTCCTCCCAGAATCTTAATGTGGCTTTAGACAAATCACGTGGCACCACTGACATGATCTTTGCTGCCCGCCTGATACAGGAAAAGTGCAGAGAACAGCGTTGTGACTTGCACATGGCCTTCATTAATCTTACTAAGGTCTTCGACTCGGTCAACAGGGAAGCCCTCTGTCCTGCCAATGGCACCCAGACTGAGTTCTGCCCCATCCAAACGAGGGTAAAACAAGGATGCGTACTGGTACCAACTCCCTCTTCTACTTTCTTGGCTGTCTTCTTTACTCGGGCTATTGCCAATTTAGCCAAGGAGGTAACTCTGGGCAGGAACAAAGGTGTCAGCTACTTCCATCACTGAACTTCAGTATGAAGACGACCTCACCCTTGTCGTTCACACTGAACGTGACCTACAGGAGAGCCTAAACACCAATGCAGATGCGTATGCACACTTCGGTCTTGAGGTGGATGTGTGTAAGGCTCAGATTCTCTTTCAGCTTGCCCCTGGTTCAACAACACCTCCACCATCCATCCACCTCAAAGTTACTACTCTCTCTATTGATATCCACTTTCAGTACCTTGGCTCCCACCTGTCCACTACCGCGGACATCGATGAAGAGGTTCAACATCGGATTACATGTGCATCTCAAGCCTTTGGCAGACTCCGTACCCGTGTTTTCAGCTGCAGGGAGTTGAAATTATCTTCAAAGTTGCACGTGTATCGAGCAGTGGTCCTTCCCACCCTGCTGTATGGCAGTGAGACATGGGTCACATACAGGAGGCACATCTAGCACTTGAAAACTTTCACCAATGTAGTCTACGTTCCATCCTCTAGTTCGCTGGGAAGACAAGTGAACAGATGCCAGTATTCTCGCTGACACCAACTGTAGGAGCATTGAGGCTACCATTATCCATGAATAACTACATTGAACTGGCCATGTTACCCGCATGGACGACAGTAGACTGCCAAAGCAGCTACTTTACGGTCACCTAAAGAATAGTAAACGTAATGCTGGGGAGCAACGAAAAAGATATAAGGATAGTTTTAAGAGAAACTTGAAAAGTACCAAATCGACCCCCTTACCTGGGAGACGACGACTCCACACTGTAACACTTGGAGGAGCACCACACCACAAGGTGTCAATACTTTCAAGTTAGTCCTGCTGCATACCGAGGCATACAGTGTCGGAAAGACGCTGCCGCCTCCGCTCCCGCACTAGATGTAGCCCTCCACACGTGTAAATCTGTGGATGGCCCTGTCAATCCCGTATCGGCTTCTCAAGTCACCTCAGAGGTCATCAACGAAGGTGACATTTTAATAACTCATATAATTATATCATAGTTGTATGATCGTCATACTGGATTCCGAGTGACAGCAAAGTAGTAGTAGTAAAGGTCATGGAGTGTGTAAGGCTAATGAAGTGTGTGGGGATCATAGTTAGAGTGTGAGTTATAGAGGTGTGTGAGGATCATAGTGGTGTGTGAGGATCATAGTGGTGTGTGAGTTATAGACGTGTGTGAGGATCATAGAGGTGTATGAGGAACAGCTGGAAGACCCTTGAGTCTCTTAAACTATCATACACTGAGACAGGTTATCTGACAGGTGTAAAAAATAATTGGTAACACACAAATACTAAATTATGTACAAAATCAAGTAACACTTTCGTAATTATCTTAAAGCCTATTATGCCGTTTTGACAATTAGTGTCACCTATAATTACCACCAATTCACTGTTATCACTGATATCATTGAGTGATATATTACCTTTCCACTGTCACTATACTTCATCATACATAATGAGTAAAACTATCATGATAAACTCTGCTGCCTTTGTTATCAGATTAAGGACACATAATTACATATTATTAATAAATTCTCGAGTATTTCGAAGATGTTGTAGACTAAACTTTAGGAACCATGATAACCTTTAATACACATTGTTGTAGAGAGAATGTTTTGTAATCTTAAGTTTAGAGCTAATACATATAATATAAAGTAAATTGGATGGATGAAATGTAGCTCTTGTTAGCACTGCTCTTAAGACAGTAAGGATTAATGTAATTACAAGTCAGACACGTTATGTCTATATATCAGGTTAGTTGTACTCGTCCCAACATTTATCTTTGCCAATTAACGTTCATATTAGACAGTTTCGCTCAGATATTCTTAGGATACCCATTCAGAGTTCAGAACTGGCGGTGTTCTGTATCCTCTCGGCTGCTCTATCACGTCTAATACATATCAAGAATTGTCAGTTAATCACTTATTTACATTAATCGTTTATCAAAATATGCCAGCTTTTTAGTTTATGTTCATAAACATCCATCAATGTTGATATTCCAAGATATTATTAACTATGAATTCTCTCTTTCCAGGACTCTATCGTCCTTACACACAAAGTCAAAGAAGAAGGGCCAGGAATGATCTTAGAAGAGGAAGTGCATCTCGTATAGAACCATTGACTGCACAACATCCAGGAAGGTCAGGTTCCAGATTTTCCAGAAAGCGACTTATTCCAGCCTCAATGAGATTAAACCCCTCAAATTCCAGACAAATGAACAGATTCTCGACAAGTGCTCCTGTTGCGTCGTCGAGAGACCTCCAAGATGAATCTCACTTTAGCCCAGTTAACACATCGGGAGCTTCTATCAGAATACCAGGTGAAAAGAGATTCTTGCTAAGCCGTCGCCGAGAGGAAAAGCGAAGGCAACAGCAACTTAGGATTGACCATATATCAGGAGAGAGGGTCTCAGAACACTCGAGGCCTGGAGTGGTACAAGATCACCGACAATATATTTCCCACTATTCAGGCAGGCGAATGTTCACAGACGGGCCTCGCCCGAGAGAGGTGAGACAACAACAACAACAAACATTACCCAATCAAGGTAAACGCCGGCTGCGTCCTGAAGGCGTGGAGCCACAAAGAGCCGTGTGTCTCTGGGCAAGGTTCGGTCACTTCTTCGCGTCTTGCTCGGTGAAAAAGCGCCTGAAGGCTTTGTGTGAATACAAACATGGGACAGGAAAAAAGGAAGAAAATCGTTGATCTGAACCCTGTGGCTGTAGTAACTAAAAACGAAGCAAAACAAACATATATTGATGTACACAAAAAACTACAGCAACAAATGCATATCATGAAAAAATTCTTCTAAGTTTTCTAGTACATGAAATACAAAACCACATTGTATGGAATGGAAAAAAGGGTTTTGTTTTTCCTAAAAAGAAGAAAAAAAGAAGACATTTAATGTTACTCAGACTAGGAAATTTCTTTCAATTTCAGGATTTTTTTCATCAAAGAGAGAGAACACTAGTAGAATTAACTGTACTAGCCTTGCAACTTGTTGACAAGTCTGAGTCTGTGTAATAAAATTTAACTATAAACGCATGAAGCTATAATTTATATTCACATTATTAACAATGAATTACTGTGAGTGCATATACGAGTATTTAGTGAAACAAGAAGACAAGCTTTATGTGCATGGTGTTGATGGTGATGATGATGACCTCTGGAGTTATGGTGTTGATGGTGATGATGATCTCTGGAGTTATGGTGTTGATGGTGATGATGATCTCTGGAGTTATTGTGTTGATGGTGATGTTGATGATGATCTCTGGAGTTATTGTGTTGATGGTGATGATGATGATGATGATGATGATGATCTCTGGAGTTATGGTATTGATGGTTATGATGGTGGTGATCTCTGGAGTTATGGTGTTGATGTTGATTTCTGGAGTTATGGCGTTGATCGTGCTGATGGTGATAACGATCTCTGAAGTTATGGTATTGATGATGATGAACTCTGGAGTTATGGTGTTGATGGTGATGATCTCTGGAATTATGGTGTTAATGATAATGGTGATTTCTGGAGTTATGGTGTTGAACATAAAAACATAAGAACAGAGTAAACTGCAGCGGGCCTATTGACCCATCCCGTATCACTTATATAAGCATCCAACCTATGTTTAAAGCTATCCAGCGTATTCGAGTTAATGATGATATTTGGTAACTTGTTCCACTCGTCCACTACTCTATTTCCAAACCAATGTTTACCTATTTCGCGCCTACATCTAAATTTGTCTAATTTAAAACCATTGTTACGAGTTCGCTCCTGGTTGGATAATTTGATTACCTTGGTAATGTCCCCTTTGTTCAGCCCTGACTTCCATTTATACACCTCTATCATATCGCCCCTCACTCTACGTCTCTCGAGGGAGTGCAAATTAAGATGCTTTAACCTGTCTCTGTACTCAAGGTTCCTAATGCCCGAGATTAGTCTTGTCATCCTCCTCTGAATTCTATCCAAGGATTCTATATCCATTTTGTAATACCGTGACTAGAATTGAACTGCGTAATCCAAGTGAGGTCTCACAAGCGCAAGATATAGTTTTAAGATGACTTCGCTAGTCTTGTAACTAACACTCCTTTGTACGAACCCAAGTACTCTATTAGCCTTGTTTCGAGCAAATATACATTGCTTACTTGATTTAAGATTCCTGCTTATCATTACTCCTAAATCTTTCTCGTAGTCGGATTTCTCAATAACATCGTTGTTCATCTGCTATCTGGTTTCCCTGTTTACATCTTCTGCCATTTTTCAGACTATTCGAAAAATTTGTTTAGATCTTCCTGTAGTTTTGCGGAGTCCTCATCAGATTTAATTACACGCCCTATTTTAGTGTCATCAGCAAATTTACCTGCGTTGCTGTCTACGCCGATATCTATGTCGTTTATGTATATAATAAATAATAATGGTCCGAGTACTGAGCCTTGGGGAACTCCACTAGTGACGTTGCTCCAATGGGATTTAGTGCCGTTAATGCTCACTCGCTGTTTCCTGTGTTGTAACCCCGCCCTAATCCATTTTAGAATATCTGCTTTAATGCCATGTCCCTCCACTTTTCTTATTAGTCTTTCGTGGGGGACTCTGTCGAAGGCTTTGCTAAAGTCGAGATTTACCACATCATAATTGTGCCCCTCGTCCACTGATTCGAAAAACAGATGAAAAGAATGTTAATAGATTAGTTAGACATGAACGCCAGCTTGTGAAGCCATGTTGGGAATCATTGATCAACTTGTGCTTCTCCAGGTGATTTCGAATAGAGTTTGAAATGATTGCCTCCAGTAATTTGCCTACAATTGATGTTAGACTGATTGGACGGTAGTTAGAGGATAGTGATCTATCTCCCTTCTTGAAAATCGGTATTACATTCGCTATCCTCCAGGATTCTAGTACTACAACCGTTTTTAAGGACATGTTAAACAACTTTGCTAAGGGCATACTAAGCTCTTCCTTACATTCCTTTAATACTCTGGCAAATATCTCATCGGGACCTGGTGACTTATTAGGCTTTAGTTTGTCTATTTGCTTACTAACATCGTTACTAGTCACTACTATCTCGCTTAATTTATTTTCTATCACTATGTCTACATAGAGTCGGTGCCTTGGGTATCATGTTTAAATTTTCGGTGGTGAAACCTGTTGAAAAATATTTATTCAGATTATTGCTCATTTCTCCGTCGTTATCAGTTAGCTCGCCTGTATCTGACTGTATTGGTCCAATCTTTTCTCGTTTTAAAGTTTGATACACAAGTGATCGTGGGCCCTTCGTGCCCTTGTGAAAGTTTGAATGCTCGTCACAGCGTACAGCGAATGAGGGTGCGCCAAGTCCGTAGACTTGCATGGTTAATTAGGGTGCGCTACGTCCTTAGACTTGCATCGTTTTCCATCGTAAATAAAATTGTTATTTAATGCCTTCCAAAAGAAACCATCGACATGGGACCAGGTTTGTTCCACTCTACGAATTTTTTTGCGATTTTTCCACCAAGTTTGATGAAAAACGATTGTGCCGTTTCGGCTGCCCAGAACAGACACACACACACAGACAGACAGACAGACACACGGCTAGTCCTCTAGTATATTAGATTTGATAGAATCCCCTGGGGTTTGACTTCGCCTTCCTTGCTACCTTCAGTTCATTATTCCTCTTTGCTTTTCTTATCTCGGTCTTAACCCTACCGGCCAATACCTTATAATAATCTCGGAGGTAGACTTCACCACGATTTATTTTCCTACCTATAGCCTTCCTTTGTCCAATAATATTCTTTAACTAATTATTTATCCATTTAGGGTCATTGTTGTTTGATTTGAGTTTTCTGTATGGTATGTTCTGCCTTTGTGCATGAAGTAACTCATTATTTAAATTGTTGTGGAACTTGGCAACCTCAGATCTCGTTATTAGGCCATCCTCAACTGTCGGGTCTCCAGGTAAGGTGAGGTCGCCCTCTGTGGGTACATTGTGTAAGGTCATGTAATTCACCCCCAAGCGTGATACCCCTTCTCTTAGCTGCCTCTTCAAACTATCAAAGTTGCCCTTCTGAAATCTGGGACTTTAGTGAAATTTTCCTTGCGGCTGCTGAAAGTGTCCACGCATCTGGCTCATATAATAATCCTTACCATATTAAGCCTTTCAGCAGCTTTTTCTTCAAATGAAGTTAATGTTTATTTTCATTAGGTTTTTAGATTATTATTTAATACTGTTTTTGTTTGACCTATTCTGATTTTGGTTTCTTCCGTACGTCTACCATCACAGCTAATGTTACTTCACAAATACACAACATTTTCTACTTGTTTAAGTTTCCTGTTGCCGACCATTATTTTTATTTTAGGTTTCATTTCCAATTTGGTAAGAACCATTACTTTCGTCTTTACAGCATTAACTCTTAAACCATATTTTTTCACCGTTTTCCACTAATCTGTGAACGAGTTTTTGTAATGCCTTTTCTTTATCAATGATAATATTTAGTCATTCATTATCACTTAAAACTTCTCTCATTAAGAATTCTGAATATATATTATACAATATTGAAGATAGAACACAACTTTTTCTTACTCCCTGTCTAACTGTGAACTGTTTTTTAACAATTCAAGGAAATGCACCTGACTACATAATGCAGCATCTAATTCCACTTTTTTACCAGCTTATTCGTGAAAAAAAATCTATGGCTACACATAAATGCTCTTCTATCTATATCTTATTTCATCAAGGATTTTCCACTTGGCAATAAAATCTCTTCTTAGTACTCACTTCACCATGGAAAAAATTCATCAGCTAGCCTGTCTTTATATGAAGTATTTTTCTCAAACTAGTCATAAAATTGTTTAAACGTTGTCCACATCCTTCAGAATAAACGTTATCAGACTTGACCAGCAAATTCAGTGAGGTCTAACGAGTTACTACAGGAGCTACAGGAGGTTCTGTTTTCATTCAGGTGTCAGCTCATTTTGATATTATTTCCTGTTTGGGTGTTGGATTAGATGTAACAAAAATTGATTGGGTAGAGTTTCAGTCTGATGCTGGCAACTTTTTCTACCCTATCCCAATGATTGGCATTTATTCCCTCGTTGGGGATGATTCTAGAAATCACACCCCAGCGAGGTGACAGATTTAAGTTAGCAGACAGTACATTAAATGTTGTGGAGAAATAGGTCTGCAAACTTCATGGGCAGGAATCGTCTAAAGTCAATGTTTTGCACTACTCCAAAATTCATTGAATAGAGGATTAACACCAGTTAAAGTTGACTTTGATGCAGCAATACACAGGACTCTACAACAGCATTCTGCCTCATCGCCCTCAATACCTGTTCACACGCAGAGGTCCAGGGTTCGATTCCCAATTAGTCAGGTATTGTTTGTATAGGGAAGTCCGCATACTATATGGACTGATGATTATAATAGTATATATATATATATATATATATATATATATATATATATATATATATATATATATATATATATATATATATATATATATATATATAACAGGTCGGAATATCTCACTACTAGTTATTGTTTTTGTGTGTGTTATAGTGGATGGTAATGCAGTGGAAGCGCCCCTCAGAGAAAATCCCGAACCAGCACAAACACAATTAAATAAAAATATTTTCTGTGACCGTGGAATAGCTAGTACCTGTGATTGGGGTTAATGAGACGCACTGGTAAAAGATGACACTTCTATTCCTTCCAACACTACAGACAGAATCAATAATTGTACACAAGCACTGGAGTACTTCTTAGCGTGGCTTATAACACTACAATGGGAAACAAAAGTTATACATGGTATAAAAAAAAATATTAAAAGATATTAAGTGCATGTGAACAGAACTACCAATGCAGCAGTACTACATATGCCAGAACAGACAGCAGAACGAGGAACTCATCTGAAACAATTCCTTCGTACATCCTACATCACTTAGTGGCATATAAAACATTAAAATATATTACTTGCACCGATGAACATGCCTTAAGGGCATCCGACAAAATTATAGCAATCACTGAGGAGTAGAAATCCCGATTTAGTCATACTACACAAGAACATGGATC